GACAACATTCATGGCCTTCTTCTTATGCTTTTGTAGATTGGCGCATTCCGAACGAACATGTCCATATCCTTTGCATTCAAAACATTGCACATTCTTTGATGAACTTCTCAACTCTTCATCAATTCTATCCTTCCTCTCTTTTCCCTTTCGTTTCAGATATTTAGTAAACTGTCTTGACAACATAGCCATTGAATCTTCAGTTGATGATCCTTTAAGAGCAACTCCAATGTCAACTTCCTTCTTCACTTCATCTACCTTCTTCATCTTTCCTTTAGCTTCATATGCTTTGCTTAACTCAAAAGCTTGAAGAATCCCAACAAACTCATCAAAAGCCATCTCATCTAGATTATGAGCTTCTTCAACTGCAGAAATCTTTGACTCAAATTTTGCAGGCAATGATCTCTTCAACTTCTTCACTAGCTTTTTGTCCTTGTAGACCTTTCCAAGAGCAAACGATTCATTAGATATGTCACCTAACTTTGCACTAAAATCAGCCACAGTTTCCTCTTCTTCCATCCTTAGATTCTCAAATTGCGAAGCCAACATATCCAATTTCGTTCTCTTAACACTTGTAGTACCTTCAAACATATTCTCCAATGTCTTCCATGCTTTTTGAGCTGATGCACATTGAGAAATCAACTTAAAGCGGCTTGAATCAATAGCATTGTAAATTGCAGTCTTAGCCTTAGAATTGCAACTTGATAGCTTTTTCTCTGCAGCAGTCCACTTATCTCTTGGCTTGAGACTTACAACTCCATCATCATCCGTAACTTTAGGAGCCTCCCAACCAAGTTCAATTGAATTCCAACAATCTTCATCAAGATTACTAATAAAAGCTTGCATACGAACCTTCCAATATCCATAATTCGCTGAATCAAGAAGTGGTGGTCTTGTCATAGATGTACCTTCCTTGTATGACTCCATCTCACACGATTCACAGCTCTGTCTTACTTTCTGAACGATCTCCTGAACAATCTTCTAAAGAATCTCCTAAACCTCACCCTGATCTACCCGAAACATGACTAAATCTCTATCGAGAACCCGCTCTGATACCAATTGTAAGTGCGGATGAGGTAAGATAAATTGTAGAAAGTAAACGAGACAAGAAATTTGTTAACGAGGTTCGGTTTTTCCTACTCCCCGGGACCAAGTCCAGATTTCGATTTCACTAGAACAAGAAAGCAAATTACAACCAATTAGCAAACGCGTAAAACAAGCCCAACCCTCTTGATTTACCGCTCCCTTCTATAACGTGAAACCTTAAGGATAATCTCTACCCTTAACTAAACTCCCCTTGAGTCTAGATTTAATCAGGATAACCTAACCCTGAGCTAAACTCCCCTTGAGCCTAGACTTCAAAACAAAACCACTTGATCACACAAAGCACAAAACCCGCAAAACTAAGTTGCACAAAACCGCGAAACTATGTCGCACACACCCTCTGAAAGCTCTCAATGATTTGCCTCTATGCCTCAGCTCTCTTGCTCCTCAAAGACGTCCTCAGCTCCTCCTTATATAGCCAAAACGATTTCCTAATCACCATAGGAGAAGATTTCCAATTTCCATAAGAAAAAGTAAATTTCCTTTTATACTTTTCCTTTTTCTCACCAAACTCCACTTTCATCAAGTCTTCCAAATCTCTTTAAGTCCTTTTTCCTTTGTGATTCATCCTCTAAACACGCTCCAAACATATCTTCTCAAACCTTCTAGAAACCGACACTCACACAAAAACAGTCGCATCTTGACTTACTTCTTGAGTCATTCAGCAACTCCATCAGACAAACTCTTGTATTACTTCTTGACTCATTCAACAACTTAATCAGACTGCAGCTACATCTTCAATCTCCCCCTTTTTGACTATGTTTGTGAACTCAACAGTTCTAACTCCAAAACAACATCACGAAACACATCATCATTCTCCCCCTGAATGAGTCACAACATGGTCAAAACTACTTAGAAATTCTCCCCGCTTTGCAATACAGAGGTTGATAGCACTAGTACACCACACTCCATAGTAAATCATCTTTCCTAACCCAAAGAACCTAGATACTGCTTAAAATCATGACTATGCTGCACTGCCGTCTAGGGGACTACTTTAAGTTTTTTTT